AAAATTCCGTTGCGTTAAGATAAACATATTTGTATGCTTAAAAGCTGCGTTTTATTTCGTACGTCGTCCAGAGATGTGGCAAAGCCTAAAATATGGAATACCTTAGCATGTCGTTGCAATATTAAAAGACATTTATGGAATGACCATGTCTGCTATTAAAGACAGTGAAGAGCTATCTGAATGATTCCCTGTTAAGTGTAGAGTTCGTTAGGAAGATGTGCCTTTTCCTTTCCTGTTTAGCGCTGTTTTCGACATTCAACTTAGTAGTGACAGAGATCTCGTTCTAGAAACAAGATGCAGTCTAGAATAGCAGGTCAGACATCTTCCTGTCTTGCAGTACGTAGATGACAATGTCTTGATAAGTAGCAGAGTAGCCTTGCCCCGGGCGTCCTTGTATGCACTAGGGCTGCGAAATACAATCTTGTTAAATTTTTATAAATGAGGAATCCATCCGACACAACGGATCTGAAAGTGTTAAAGGGCGATGCAGCGATAAACAAGGTCGACCAGTTTAGCATGGTTCCGTTGTTTCAAGTGATTGTACTTACCAGTTAGAGTTATATTGGAAGAGAACACTTTCCCCAGCTGCAGGAGTTGGCTTACGCAATTCATGTGGTGGCATTTTGTTTCCCTCTCTGTAGATGCTCTCCCGCGTCTTGCCTGAGTTGGGTCAGAATTTATAACGACATTTTTCTCTTAACCACACTTCCGTTGTTGGTATTTCTCCTTAATGCTTCTATTAATTGTAGAATTTCTTCCTTGGCTCTGCATTATGACTCTTTTCTGTTTATGACACCTTTAATTTCTTAATGAAAGCAAATCTGCCATGGCTTTCAGCGACGTTTACACTTAACGATGTTGCAAATGCCACGTTTCGACTAACCGATGTTAGTGGTCTTTTGATTTCTTGCTAACTTAAAAAACTTTTGTAGTTTGTTCATCCGTTCTTGTCGCTCCCCGCATGTGCTAGCGATTCGTCGCTGATTCATTCTAAGCTTCTATCGCTGTTCCGTAGGTCTTCAGTTACGCTTTCTTACGTGTGCTGCGCTGTCTTCCATTTTTTTCTTACTCAGTTTCTACGCACCGTAGATCTTTGTTTTATGGTGTCCTTCGATATTGCTGATCTTGACTAGTTCACCAAACCCTGTATCGACTGTAAGTTATATTTAGACGTCTTGTCTTTTCCGTCTCTTTTCCTGATGAAGAGATCGTGGGTGTAGTTTTTAGCATAATCTTCTGGTCACTCCCAGAGTCTCATAGTCTCCATCATGTAACTTCAATTATCATCTGGTGGCGTCCCAAGCTTTTTACATTTGCTAGTTTAAATGTGATAAGAGTTAATTACAAGGTCTGCGTGGTACGACCTTCATACTGATTACTCAAAATGGTGTTCTTTTTTCATAATTTTCCCGTCGTTTAAGGATAAAAATGATGTTTCTGTTGAAAGTGAAAGCGGTGAAAATGGTTTTTATTCCATCGCAACCGAAATTGCTCGTTTAGAATCTACCCTATTACTCACAACAGTCGTTAGAAAACGGTAATCTTCTTAGCCAGGTAAATCCGCTGTCAGAATCACAAAGTTTTCAAAACAATGCCTGTGAATGCTGTGATATACTTCACCCCTACCCACTGTCATGCATACACGCACACATTCGGTAACCAGTAGTGCCAGTGGCGATATGAACAGCCATATACGGCGTTGCACCCGTCAGATTTGCTTGAAAGATTTCGATTTGTTGAAATTCTAACAGATTTAATCAGACTTGTTCATTGTTTAACTTTGCGCTGTGAAATTTGGATGCTGTTCCTGTCGCGAGCAACTGATCTGTTATTCTTGTTGACGGCTGATATGTTGTTTTCTAGAAGCTGCATGGATCCGAGTGTCACTAGCACGAGTCGCGGAGTCACGCAGTCCGGGAAGACTCCCAAGCGTGCCAAAGAGGGCATGACCACAAGGAAGCGCACTCTCGGTACGTTTCGTTTTCATAACATATGAATTCTGTTAACCGTATTTCTACACTTTAAATAATCGAATGCGGCGAAATCCATTCATTCATTCGTTAATTCATGCAGACATGCTGCCATGCATTCGTTCACTTTCATAAAACGGTAGTGTTTTAGCGAGCGTTGGGGCAGTATCAATCTGTGAAAGCTGCTTGAGCCGGCTCTTCAAACTGGCCTTCAGTGCTTCTGAATGTCAAGTTTAAATATCTGAGCGATTTGGCCTTTGGTGTTCTTCGTAAACGCCGGTTTGCCGGTTTCTATTGTAGCATCCTGATCACTTGCCAAAACAACTATAAGTTGTTTTGCGATTCATGAAAGGAGCGATTTACGTGCTTAGGCATCTCATTGCCGTGTTCAAAAATTTATCAGTTTTTATCAGTATCAATAATCCTGCAAAGAACTTTATGTCTAATAGGTATTGAAGGACATATCGATTCGTTGCATGCTTTGATAACAGTTAATGCCTCAGATTCTGATCCATGGTTCTAGGCAACAATTTTGAAAAAGATGAAGAAGTCTCGTTTACTCACCGACGCGTTTCAGCGCTTCACACTAGCTCATCTTCACTTTAAGATAACTCTCCAAACGCTTTGGTCAGTAAAAGAAATTTCTTAATCCTTTTTTAAACTGTTGCCTTGAACCATGGGTCGAAATGGGAGAACCATTAACCTTATTTCTATTTATTGTATTCGATTCAGCAGGCGACCTTTTTACCTTTATTCACCAGCCGTAGATGTCAACGCCACCATTCATTCCTCATATGGCTCAAACGAGACTGAAGACGGACAGTCGGCTTTGTAACACCGCACAGACATGTATATCGTTAGCTTTGCTGCCGCCTTAGTGCCCTAGTGCATTCGTTTAATCTATTAGTGTGTTTGTTGCATTACTCGTGTCCTGCCGACCGTCATCATTCATGGATGTTCAGATATCTAAACCATTTCGAGTTAATTACATGTCTTCGTGCTGCATATGGTGTTCATCGGTGATGAATTTCAATGGGTAAAATCCTAATTGATCACAACGGCTACCGTATAGGCTGGAAACTTCACTCAAGCGTACTTCGCCCTGACATGCAGTCCCGTACTTAGGGCATTTCTGTTTTTTCGCGGTTGGGACTACAGTTTGAATTACGGAGAACGTTGTTTTGATGAGTCAGCAATATTATCATTTACATTGTTTCGATTAAGTAATAATTCGATTTCGAATTTCGTTTGAAAGTTCGTATAAAGTGAGTTGAACTATTTATGATGGCTGTTTTAAAATCTTCGTTGTGCAGTAATTTGAGTAATTTGGTTGCTAAACTGCTGATTATGTAAAGGTTAGGTCATTAATCCGGTTACTCGGTCTCTGATACCTTTGACGATAAAAATAACAACAATGCATCAAACGGAACATTCTCAGACCCAACGAAACATTTCGTTTTATGGAGTTGTCCGTCGCTGACGAGTTCGTTAAATAGATGATTCACTGTGTAAGGCAGGTTCTGTTTGAGAGTCGACGATTGCATTGCATTTTTTGCTAAAATATTTCGTTGCAGCTTGGTCTGAGTGCGTGCGAACTCTCTGCGCAAATCTGCTGCAAGATCATTTTGGCCCCGTTACTGCTGCAGTAACGGTATATCTGATGAATCGCCAGTATATGTCGCTTCCGTTATTGGCCTACCGTTGTCATCTTCCCATTAATCAGGTATGCAAGCACTTAACTCTTTCGTCTAAAAATACTGTTTTTATATGTTATTCTTAGTGTTGTATAACTTTTGCCATGGTTCACCACTGAGGCACTTGCAAACTACTAGCCATAGAAGCGAATTCTCTATTTGCCCGTGCCGTCTCTCTGCTTCTTCATAAATATCTAACTAAACAAAGTTTCTGTATTTCCCGTAAAACAGAGCAGACCGTGGGGAAGAGGAGAGCAGTTTTTTAGGTACAGTAAAACTGCTTCCGTGAAATTCAATTGCTGTCTGTAGGATTCAGTATGAATAGCATAACAAGTTTCGTATAGTTCAACATTCAGTAAATGGAACGTCCGCATGAAAATATCTTTGTCTACTGATCGACAGGATGGTATAAAGCATTTTAAAATGCGCTTTAAGTGTTGGGTAAAATGCGTCCGTTTCTCTGTTTTGCGCGCATATGGCAGTCATTTAAGCGTGATGGTAAGGAAATCCATCCACTGAACAACCAATAAAAATATCCAGTGTAATGATCTTGTCACTTCTGCCAAGGAGGTAAAACTTGGCTGCTGTCAACAAGGCTGTGAGTTGCTAAAAAGTGGGCTCAACGTAAATTAACTCTTCAGTCTGTTGGGTTTCATATTTGCTATAATAAGTTACGAACTTGTTATGCTTTATATGCAGTGACATATTATGTATTGCTACGTGTGAGTGTGGCCCACTAAAGTGACTTACATGTGTCTGTCAAACTGCAGTTTCTCTGGTAAAGACACCTATGGAATGGAGAGCAGTCATTGCAGTACCCCTGTTCAAGAATGGAGATCGTAGGCAGTGCTTCAGTTATGGAGACATTGCCTTATTGAGCCTCCCGAGTAAATTTTACGCAAAGGTGCTAAAGAGGAGGTGCCGTGGAATGAGTGACTGAAAAATGTGAGAAGAGCAGTGTTGCTTCAAGTCTGACCGCAGTACCTTTGTCCAAATATTTGTCTTACGCCAGGCTGTTAACAAATCGTGGGAATATGTGCATCTGGTCATCCAGGGCGATGAGTGTGTCAGCGTATATCGAGGCGACATAGTTGCTGTTTGCAGATGACCTTGTTTTGTTGGCATCTTCTGAAACTGGTTTACAGCGCTCTTTGGAAATGTTTGCAGCTGAGTGCGATATGAGTTTGAACGCATCAACAAAACGAAAAGCCTACTGCTTTCTCGTTGTTCTACATGGCGCGCCCTGCAATAAGCGGAGAAGCAATGGAGCATATGGAGAAGTACACTTACTTCCCTATCGTGTTTATTAGTGACAGAAAATGAGTGGAAGAGATCGTTGGGTGAATTGAAATAACCAGCGCCGTTTTGTGTGAATTAGCCCGAACGGTTGTGATTAAAGCAGAGGTGAGTCTGAAGACGAAGCTCCCTGTGTTCAAGTCGATCTTC